TCTATTATGTAGTGTAATAATTTAATTGATAATTTGCTTTTTCACATAACGCTTCCATTACCCTTTACCTACCAGAAAATCCAGCATAAAGAATTCAGTAAGGCTGTATCTACTGGAAGACCACACCTAAGTGCCCGTGCATGATGTAAGCAAATGTAAGAAATGTGCGGTGAAACCCGCGCTTGCTCCACTTGTCCTTACATGCAAAACCTCAGGACATGCAAATTGTGATTTCAGCTTCTCCCTGTACCCATGGCCGGTGAAGGAGCCAACCAGCAGCAAGACATAATCTCTTTGCTAGGAGTTATCCTGGAATACCCAAGCACGATAATGATGCAGCGTCTGGAGGACAGGTCGAGTCACGAATTCCTTTGTACGGAAGCTGGGAGTTACGGTGTGCAGCTGGCAGAAGGCCCGCGGAAGCGACAGGTACGCGAATACACATGGCGGGGCAGAGGTTTCGGGGGTCCCTTGTTCAGCTGTCAGAGAACCTCGAAGGACCAAGCGGATGAAGGGGGACGCAGGAGCCAGGATGTGAAGTCAGAGGGGCCGGACCCCAGCAGCTGAGCCGCAGCGCTCCCGTCCGGGTCGCTGCCAGAACCAGCTGAAAATCATGGCGTGCGTCTGAAAGGGGCTGCCAGGCTGTTCCCGCACCTCGCACCCCCTGTCGGGGATACAACATCTCTTCTGCTTTACAAGGCACCTTCTTTTTTCCTCCTACATTTCACTGAACTCTCCAAAGAACATTTAAGTCTCTAAGAATTCCCTTCTTCGGAACCGCAGAATTTAGGGCCGACAGAAGTATAAAACAACAGACCTAAATTCTAGAAGGCCAACCCAAAATGTGACAGCAATCCTGTAGCTCATCTCACTTTTTCTGGGAACGCAAAGAGCCATTGCAAAACTTATTTTATGAAATAGTCACTGAAGGTAGATAATTGCAGTAATAAAACGTATGCTCTTAAGGTCATAGCAGCACAATGATAACACGACACAGAACTGCCAACAGCAAGGTAACACCACTTGCCCCCAGATGACAGAACCAGGTCCCTGGTCTTGCGGCGTACTTGCTGCTATGGTCAGGATAGGCCTAACTCCCCGTTTGGCCACATCCTCTTCCAATTAAGGTTTTCTTTAGGACTTACCTATATAGCCAAATTACATTATTGCTGGAGCATTTGACAGTTACAAAAGCAACAGCGGTGGATGGAAACGTGATGGTTTGGGCCTTTTACCTGGCCCAAGTAGAAGCCAGGACCGGAGGCAGGGGAAGCCCTTCAGCTCTCACTAGAGAGCGTCACCCAGCCTAGGCCAAATAAAGCAAGGACACCTATGCCTCTCCATCATAAATGGACACTTGTTTTGTTGTGTAATTTGCATATTCCCCCAGCCCAACCTGTAATTACCTTCAGACACTCATAACTGGAACACACTTACTTAATTCCTTTAACTTCAACCCAAAATTCACTTCGTACCAATTCGTCTATTTAACATTAAGAATGCGAAAGTTGGCGCTTGGGACCCAATACGACCCAGTAGTCGAACATCCGAGACGTAAGAATGTCACCCTTCGCCTTCGACCTGCGCTGCAGCTGCACAGCATGCCCTGCCTGTTTTGGATCACTGGTGTGCCCTCATATTTCCAAATACAGCTTCTGGAAAGAAGAAACTTCTGGAAGCAGAATTCAAAGCAGAACTATAGCTGGGACAGAGGAAAGGGAAAATTGCTTCTTATTGCAGATTTCAAAGCAACAATCTTTGGTTTTATTTTTTATAGTCAGTAGCTGACCCGCCATCTGCAAGCCAGCATACAGCCAGGTAGAGGTGATATAGATCATCTGTGCACTCTCAGAGAGGTATCTGCATTTTAAAATAGGAAAAAAAAAATCCCACTTCATGTCCCAGAAAGGGGATGCCACATCTTTCACCTTACAGTATTAAGCCTCTTCTCAGATCCTCTGTTAATAGGATTCCTTTAGCCAGCAGATGGATTGTGAATACAGGCAGTTTCATCTACTAAAAGACAACATAAATCATCATTGAGAAAGGAGAGACCGCAGTAAGGTTATCACCATACAGCCTTCTCCATGAAAGGTTTGCATTAAAGCATTAGTGAAATTAATTCATCTTTCATAAGAGCTTTGAGCAGTATCTGTGATCTATGATAACAACCAATTTCTCACTATGGGAAAAAAAAAAAATTACTCAGGCCTGATAGACTACACAAATCTGCTTTTTTTTAAATGGCCTAACATTATCTGGAGTGTTGCTCCCAAAGGCATCATTTGAGTCTCGTGCCCAGCCAAGAGGACCCATAAATCAAGACAGAAAGTTTTGTTAGTTTTATATGCAGTGGGCTGTAATTATTTTGAATTGCATTATGCCTCAATCATTGTAATTACTTTTAGATCATCCTTAAGCAGCAGTAATAAAAAGAAAAGGAATCAGTCTTAAACCATTGCTCACACAAAACATGGTAAATGTGATATGAGAAGTCAGGCTGTACGCACAGGAGCACGTAAATGTCACGCTCGGGCAGGGACGCTGCTCATGCATTCTGCTGTGTCAACGCACGTTTTCAAAATCCACGTTATTTTGTGGTCTTTTACTTAGCACTGTCATGACCAACACTTGTCTAGGAAGAAAATAGCTGATAACAAGATTAATTTTAGCTTTAGAAGTATAAACATGCATGTGAGAACCAAACCCACGCCACTGTTGGGGTGTTGATGTGGCTGTACTCGTGTGCGCTTCAGAGACTCTTTGGCCTTCAGCCCAAACCGAAAACGGCATCGTGTAAAAATCATCACAATTGTTTTCCAACTTTTCAAGTCATGCGAAAAACACGCTGGCTTGGTCTACGCTAGGTCACTCATCAAACGAGCATGGGAAATCTCAGAACTGTGGATGCCGATGCTGCTACCACCTGTGTTACGGCAGCCCCGGAGAGCTCGTATCGCCCTCCCCTCCCGCTGTGCGGAGCGCTGAAACACAACGGGTAAATCCGCACCTTGCCTACGAGCCCTGACCCAACACTCTTACACGGCATTGTGCTGTGGGCAGGAACAGAACTAAACGTTCAGGGTGCTTCAGGGATCGTTCATATCTTAATTGCGAGTGTCTGTGGATTTTCTCTTTTCCAAGTTATCCCTCCTCCAGGCACACGTGCCCTTGGCAACACCAGAACGCGGCGCTTTCTCCTTAGAAAAGTCTTGTCAGGTAAGGAATGGGAACAGTATGAAGGCATCAGAGCCTCAGCAGGTATTTGGCTGCTTCTGGGGTTCTGGAGCGAACAGTCCCGTTCCTAAAGCAGTGCTGCAGGGGGTATCGACTGCAGAAGCTATTGCCCCAAACCACCCGCGGGAACGACTGATCCCTGAGCACCCACACGACACGAACGCAGCCCCTGGTCCACAAAACACTCCGGGAAAGCCGCTAGACTCAACCATTTCCCCAAGAGACCGTGAAGAATTGTTCACGTAGGAGGCAGTAACAAACGCTGCTGGACGAGTTACAGATTTGCCAGTCTCGTGATGAAACAACAGCAGTGAAATAACGACGGAAATAATTCTTCCTGGGTATCAATGAACAATCCATAATTTGGCCTGCTGCTGTTAAGCGTGGTAGCAGCACTCAGGCACCGCTGTTCAGTGCTCTCGGTACCACCATCAAATCATTCGACAGCACTATTCCCTTCCTACTTACGCTGTCAATCATCCGCACTGCTGCAGCTTATGGCTGATGGAGGAGAAAAATAAATGTCTCAGTAACCGCTTAAGTTCCTTCAAAATGATATAAAGAAGTGTTTAAGATGTTTATTCACAGGAGGTAAAAGCTAGTGAAATTATGTCAAAGGCAGTTTCCCTTCCCGGATAGAGATATGGAATATAAAAATGAATAATTTAGTATAAAAGTCAAGAAAAAGAATAACCTACATCCCATCAACCCCATAATTATTTATGCAATGCTCTTCCAAGCGCACATGTGCTACGTAAATATCTCTAAGTACGTATATTTATAAATTCTAAATTACTTTTTAAAGTCTATTTAGCTCTTCCTTATATTAGTCAGGCGCCTGTTTGATCCACAAATGTTACAGGAATCCAACAAACTTCTTCACTTGGCTTTTAGTAAACACCAAACATGCACGCTCCAGATGTTCTTAAGAAATGAAAAATGAGCAAATTAAAGAAAACATGAAAGAAGAGAATTGCAGGCCAAGACTGCACTTGCAGGTGCAGTGGAAGAAAACCCTCGGCTGTGCTTGTGTTTCTGGGTTTGACAAGACCTTCAACAACTGCAACGTGCAGCGCTCCCCAGTTCCGAAAGGGGCAACAGAAAAAGGGAGCACGAGGGCAGCGCCGGAGGGAGGCGTCAGTGTCGTCAGGTGGCGC